AAAACTATTTGTTAAACTTAAAAAAAAGTTTAAGACAGACTTGAAAATATAAAAGAAATAATTTTAGAAACTTTTAACCATTAGTGATTTCTACCTGTAAAATGAAAAATCATTTATTAATGGTTAAAATTTGTAATCAATATGTGAGAATAAAACTACTAGAAACAAAAATAGTGAAGGAAAACACCTTTGTGTGTAACAGAGGACAGGAAAGTGGGTATGTTTTTATATAAAAATTATGCAAGAAATGTAAGATGTATTTTTATTAAGAAAAGAAGGAGAATAATTTTGTCCTAAAGTAAAATGAGAAAGAGAGAAAGCATAGGACAAAACCTGAGTGGACATAGAAGTTGTAGAACGTTTGTGAAAAAGGAATTTAATGTTGTGAGGTCAAAGCTGGCTAAGATTAAACAGCTTTATTTATAAGATTTTTTTAATGAGGAAAATAATATACTGATAAAAAACTAGAGTTTGAGGTTTTCTCTGTTAAAATGATAGTTTCTTGGATTATGGGTCTACTCTTAAGAGATTATAAAAGGTTTTTCTTTATCTTTTGAATAATATGCCTAGGAAACAAAAATTCTGTGTCTTATCAAAATAATTTCCTGTGCTCCATGTTGTTTTTATCACGTTCTTGGTTTTTTAATAGAACCAATTTTTTTTCATGTTATCTGCTATATTTACCTGTTAGACCTTTTTTTATTATTTCAGCATATTATGGGGGTATAAATGTTAAGGTTATGTATATTGCCCATGCCCCCCTCCCCCCTCGAGTCAGAGCTTCAAGTGTGACCATCCCCCAAAGGTTGCCCTTTTAGACCTTTTTATTGTCATTTTAAACATGGATAACCAAATCTTGTTTCACAATGATGTATGATTGTATGATCTTGTTTAGTTAAATATTCAAACCTTTTCACATTTTGGGTAACTTCTCTAAATCAAATTCTTGATAAAGTTGCCTTGATCTTGAACTGACTGTGAGGTTTCCCAGAGGGCCCCTGGAAAACATCAAAGGATTTGTTTTCTTACCTCATAAAAAGAAAGATCTAAACTAATTAGGTTTATTTTATATGCTAAATTATGTAATTGCATGGGAAGCATTATCAAAGAAGAGATATCATTATGTGGAAATTATATAAAGTTCCTATAAATTTGTAAATTCCCTCACTATCCATGGTATATCCTCAAATAATGTTACCAGTTATAATTATGGTTATTATTTAAAATGTTGTATGTCACAAAATAACCAAATTTCCTTGGCAATTGCATTGTTTTTGTAATGAACTCTCATTAGATCTTTTTTTTCCTTTTGTCATCCAGATAGTTGTTTTACTCTGATGCTTTCCTAAGAGCTCTTACAACCAGTTATAGGCCAGAGCACTTGTCTTTAACCAAAAGGGACCGTCTCAGAAATTCATGGAAAAGGACAATGCCAGGTATTCTGAGATACAGGGTTCTGATGGTATTGCCTAAATAACTTTGAGATCATACCAACAGACAAAATTAAGATTTCCAAAACTGTAATAAAAAGATGATGAGCTCATGAGACTGATATTTTAGTCAGTTCAGGATCCTACAACAAATTACCATAGACTGGGTGGCTTACATGACAAACATTTATTTCTCACACTTCTGGAGGCTCAGAAGGCCAAGATAAAGGTGCTTGCAGATCTAATATCTGGCCAAGGACCTCTTCCTGGTTTGCAGGTGGTCACCTTCTTGTATCCTCACATGGCAGAGAGAGAGAGAAGCAAGTCCTCTAGTGTTTTTTCTTATAAACACACTAATCTCATTGTGAAGACTCCATCCTTATGACCTGATTATCTCTAAATACTATACATCAGATTGGGGATTAGGTTTTCAGCATATGAATTTGAGGGAGCATTCTGAAGTCTGGTGTTTGCTCAGCCTCTGGATGATAAATATTCCTCTCCTTCCTTCCTTCAATGCAATTCTTAGTAAATAACGAAGTTTTATTTAAAATTCTGAATCTGTGGCCCTATTTATTATGACACCATTCTTTGATCAATTTCCATTATATTTTCCTTAATGTTTTGCTATTATAAAAACGATGCATTGGGAGTATATATACTTTTTGTCTCTTTGTGCAGAGTTTCTATATAAGAAACTATGTGAAAGTTTCTGTAGCATGAATACTTGGAAGTAGAATTTTTGAGTTATAAGATTTGTGTATTTTCAGTTTTTCTTGATATTGTCAAATTGGTCTCCTAGAGTGGCTATTATAATTTGTTCGACTTTCAGTGTGCAAAATTTTCTTTTCTCACCACTTTTGCCAATGGTTGGTTTTGTCAGACATTTAATCTGTTTGATGACAGTGGTATGTCCTTGCTATTTTCATTTATATTTATTTAATTATTTGTGACATTGTGCCCTGTTTTGTATCACTAATCTGTTTGTCTAGTCTTACATAAATAAAACATTATTTTAATTACTATAGTTCTATAATAAATGTTGATGTCAGTAGGAGCCTATGATCATTCTATCATGCAACGCTGCAGAATATCACTGTCCCAATATTCTATACCTTATTTTTACTTAGCTCTTTCTAGTATCTTATCTTTGTAAAATCTTATAAGCCTCTAGAGGTCAAGGAATGTTAATTAGGCATCATACGTATAATACATATAGGTTAATTCTTATTGTATCTTTCTTAGCTCTTATAGTGCAGGTAGATGAATGAATGAATAATGTAGAAGATCTCTGCCATAATATGTCAGGGTGAGTGAATGAAAATCTCCTTAGGCTGTGGCATCTGCATGAATGGGTCCTCTCCTAGCTTTATCAGAGTTTCTGGAAGGAGGGCTGTTAAAGCTGGTTCCTGAGTTCCTGCTTTAGTTTCTAGAACATTATTCCAATGGGTCTTCTCTGTCCCAGAGCCAAGAAGAGTTTCGTTCGTGGACTAGGGCAGCAAGGAGAAATCTCTAAGTGGTGTATAGCATTGAGTATTTGCTCATTGCATCTTGTATAATGTACACAATTGAAAAGGATGGATTAATAATAGAAGCCTAGAGTAAACTAGATACAAAAATAATAGCAATAAATGACACTAATAATCATAACAACATTATCATTTTATGTTTATCTTGCTCTTTTATACTAGGAAATTTATTCTTTTAGCATTGTGTATTATTCTTTTTTTTTAACTGATGAAACAATTTGCCCAAGAATACACAAATGAACCACTAATGTAGTTTTAATAAAATGTAGATTTGTCTTTAATTTCTGACCCACAGTTTCTCCAACACAAATCCCACTTAAAAAGGTATAGCATGCTTTAAATAGTAATTTAAATAATGTTAAATAGCCTTGAGTTTAACACATTGGATTTCTGCATCTCTTATTAATCAGGACAGCCACCTGGCACCACCAAGACTTTCAAAATACAGTGGGGACTTCATGGATTAAACCAAGGCAGTTCTTTCTATAAGTTTTTATCTCTGTACTTTGTTTTCCTCTCACCCCCAAATGTCTGGTTTTTTGGAGAAAAGGTACTACTGGATAGATTTACTTCTTATTTTAGTATGTATTTTTGGTGAGCTGGAGGTACTGAGATGTTCTGACTTGATCAAATAGTTCTAGTTTAAAATATTTTCTAGCTGTATTATTAAAAGTAGAGCAAGGCAGATATTTAGATAAAATTTTTTTTCAGCCCTAAGTAGTTGTGTCTTGGGAAGTAGAGAATTTTGTATCATTGAGCAAAAATATCAAGGAGAGACTCACAACTAAGGTTGAGTCCCTGGTAGTGGAGGAGTGGCTTTTGCCTAGACCAATGAAAAAAACAAAACAAAACAAAACAAAAGTAGGATCCAAGAAAGGTCTGGGGACAATTTTTTTCTGGGTTTCTGAATTGCAGTAGGAGGTGCTCAAACAACTGCAGTTTCTAGATCTAACCCTGAAGTACCTAAGATGGATTTATAGAGGAACTCCTCTCATTTCTCTGATTAACAAAATAGTTGTATGATAGAATACAGGAATCATTTAAAATAAATGTTGCAAAAATACATTCCAGAAGAATGCAATAAAAAATAACAGTGAATCATCCTCAGAAATATTACTCAGAATGTGGAGCAATGGGGACAGGTAGCTGCATTATTCTTACTACATTTTCATATCCAAAGAGCAGTGAAAAGTTTGAATCACGGCTTTGCATATAATCATCCCAAACTCAATGATCTTGTACCTATAGGGATATAAATGATTTTGGATTTCTATTAAGCTCTAGTTGAAGAAAATTAAAAAATAAAAAGAAGAAAAAGATATCCTCTCGTACCAAGATATATTCTTACACAAATAACCTTAATTACACTAGTAACTCAAGAGTCTTAGGCCAATAACAATTAACTTAGTAATTGCTTTAATTTACTAAACAATTTAAATGTGTCTCTGTACATAAATTTTACAAAGAATACAAACACTATAATTTATGAGGTTAAGTTTTATTTAAAAGGCCGATTAATTTAAATTGTTTTCCGATATCAGAATTCCAATAAAACACATTTTACAATGCAAGCCAAGGATCATTTGTGATCAATGCTTCATCATTCTTAAAAGATTTTCATTCTGTGCTTGCTGGTATGTGTCAAATGTACTGTTTTGGGGAGGAAAAAAAAAGAGAAAAGAAAACTCCTCTTAACAAATATGTTATCCTATGTTTTAGTTTTGATTAGCACTTTAGGATTTATAACACACTTTAGCATAAATCATTTTCATGGAATTCTTTCACTGATTTTATTTGTTAGGGTTTATTCAGTGTTTATTCAGTGTTTTATACAGAAGGGCAGATTAAGACTCAGATAGTTGTGTGATTTTCCTTTGGTCACATGACTAAGAAGTGGACAATCAAAAGGAGGACGAAAACCATCTTTTTTGGCTCCTGGCTTTTCCATACTTATTATTTTTGCTAAAGAATCATGTATCTTAACTGAGCAGGAAAGGAAGTCTTTTTGAAACATTTTCTGTATTTTTTCCATTTCTTCTAGGTATTAATGATTCAGGAGGCATCTACTGATTCAGAGCTAAGAAGATAGAGCTTTAAAAGGACTTAACAGATTGTAAGGAATGCAGATTACTCTGTGATGGAGAAAACTACTTACAATGTAAACAACTGACATTTTTCTCTCTTTAGCTCAGCAAGTGGAATGAAGACTTGGATTATTTTGACAAATAATATGCCTAAAACGCAGCTGCAGGGCATATAGCAGGCATGTTTCAGATCTCAAAATTATGTATCGTATTTGTCACTGTAGGAAACTAAACATACTTTAAAAAGTCTTTGTTTCTGACACTGAAATCATTCTTATTAATACACACTATGTACACTCCTATATATTGTGTCTGCTTTCGTGAAAATAAAAACCCAAAGGAATTTAAGAAGTGACCTTGTATTCATTTTCTATTGCTGTGTAACCAAATACCACAAAGTTAAAATTAAAAACATCACACAAAGTTATCTCACAGTTTCTGTAGATCACAAATCCCAGCACGGCATACCTGGATTCTCTGCTCCAGGTCTCACGAAGCTGAAATCAAGGTGTTGGCCAGGGCTGTGGTCTCATTCGTGGTTTGGGAGTGCTCTTCCAAGCTCATTTAGGTTATTAACAGAATTGGGTTCTTTCTGGCTGTAGTAGGTCTGAAGTCCCAATTGTCTTGCTGACTGTTGGCTGGGGGTTGCTCTTAGCTGTTAAGGGCCACCCTCAGGTCCTAGTCACATGGCCCCAAGCAAAGGCAATTCATGATTTGACTATTTACTTTCTTCCAGGCCAGGAGAAGAGCTAACTGATAATTCTATTATCTTTCAAAGGGCTCATCTGATTAGGCCAGTCCCACTAGAGTAATCTCCCTTTTGATTAATTTAAAAGTCAGTGTCTTGTAACGGCATTCTGAGTTTTCCTTGGAATTTTCCCTGCCCTACTCTCATCCTATGTTAACCCTGCAGTGGTATTGCATTCCTCTCTTCTTTCTGAGTATAGGAAGTGACTTAGTCCTGGCTGTTCAGCATGTCTTATCCCCTTAATTGTGATTTATTTAGAGATAGATAGATACATGACAAAAACAGAACAATTAGAGTAGTTTATGAAGTTTGGTTGGAATTATCCAGAATTAGAAGCTCTCTCCTTCCATTGAGTGTATTAGATATAGGATGAGACAATGCTGGAGTTGCCTTGGGCTACCATATTAGAGACCTTTCTGAGAATAAATTTTATACTGGAAAAATCAAAGTCAACGATGGTTTAGGAGTCCTGATGATATTCTTGGAGGTTATTCGGGTTTGAAGCCAAGTCTTCTTTTACACTTTTTAGTTATGCAAATCATTATTATAATAACTACTACTACTACTACTACTGTCACCACTACCAGCATCATTTCCATTATTATTTGTGTCTATCAAATGCACTTAAACTTTTAACATTTTCCTAAAATTTTCTTGGGAAAAAAAAATCAAACCTAAGGCTGCGGTGTATTTGGTGATCCAGAAACAGTATGCTTCAAGCAGCATCATGAATTTCAGCTGGGAATGGCCGAGCACAGCACGCTTGTTTGGTATGTCTTTTCCTTCTAAAATATTCCCCCTAAACATTAAAAATAAGGAATCATACTTAGTAAACAACCAAAATGAAGTATTTAAGATAATGTTAAGGTAGGGGCTGACAACTCTGAAATTTGTAGGGCAGGCTCACAGGCTGTAAATTCAGGCAGGATTTCCATGTTGTAGTTTTGTGGAGAATTCCTTCTATTTCAAGGAACTTCAGTTTTTTTCTCTTAAGGCCTTCAACTGATTGGATGGGGCCTATGCACATTATGGAGAGTAATCTCCTTTACTTAAAGTCTGCTGATTTAAATGCTAAATCACATCTAAAAATACCTTCACAGCCCATCTAGCCTGGTGTTTAACTGAACAGCTATGCACCGTAGCTTAGCCAAGTTGATACATAAAGTTGATGATCACAAATAAAGTTAATGAGCTACTTGGTATTATTTTCCCTCTTCTTTTCCACTTTAAATAAACTAAAATGGTTGCATAACTGAGAAATTTTGATTTTCTCATTATCTAAGATTATTCATGTCATACTTGCTGAGGATATTTAGAATAATAATCTTATTCCTATTATTATTCATGAGAAAACATCTTCTCTTTTTTATCTTCTCTTAGTACATTTTGTTCATCTTTTCAATAGTAAATGTGATAGTTACAGATGCAAAGATTATTCTGGATGTTACAAAATCTGAGATACTTCATCTAATTTAACTATTAGCATAGTAAGCCACAGTGATGCAGGTAGAATCTAAGAAAAATAGCAGTGAAAGAACCTTAGTATTTTCCTCTCAATTATAAGAACATCAGGGGAAAGTACTAAGATATTTTTAACTTATTTTAATAGTAAGGTCTCCTCTCCCTTCCCCTCCCCTTCTCTCTCTTCTTCCTCTATAGATGAGGAAACTGAGGCCTAGGAAATTAAATAATTGGTCCATGGCTACCCAGTTTTAAGTGATTGAACTGGGACAAGGATTCAGCTCATCTGACCTTAGCCATATTTTTAAAAAATTATGTTGCCTCTTTACAATAAATACTTTCTATTTTTACATTTTAATATCTATTTTTTTAATTGATGTTTTTATAGGCCTTGTCCTTTCAGGGATGCTTCATGGAAGCTTTCTAGAAGATGGAAGACTTAAATTAGGTGTCATATTCTTTATTGCATAGGTGCTCAAAATACTTGCTTTGTTGAAGAATATATTTTTGCCCAAATACTCCAAGCCAGCCCTACTGTTAATATCTCAGAGACTTTAATTGGAAGCAGAGTAATAGCACAGTTGATTGCTCTCATCTTCATTACAGCCTTTAATCAAGTCATGGTGCTATTTTCTATTCAATATCTCTTTTCTCAAACTAAATTTTAGGTCTCTGTGCCCTTTAAAGAAGGCTTATTCAGGCTGGGCGCTGTGGCTCACGTCTGTAATCCTAGCTCTTGGGAGGCCGAGGCGGGCGGATTGCTCAAGGTCAGGAGTTCAAAACCAGCCTGAGCAAGAGCGAGACCCCGTCTCTACTATAAATAGAAAGAAATTAATTGGCCAACTGATATATATATAAAAAATTAGCCGGGCATGGTGGCGCATGCCTGTAGTCCCAGCTACTCGGGAGGCTGAGGCAGAAGGATCGCTCAAGCCCAGGAGTTTGAGGTTGCTGTGAGCTAGGCTGACGCCACGGCACTCACTCTAGCCTGGGCAACAAAGCGAGACTCTGTCTAAAAAAAAAAAAAAAAGAAGGCTTATTCTGTCTTAGAAATCTTTGTTTCCAGCATTTGGAATCTTACATGAGTAGGTGCTCAACATATGGTTGTTGAAGAAAGGAAAGAAGAATGGAAGAGGAGAGAGGGGATTGTTTTTAATGAAGGATTGATAATCTGTGTTTTAGGTAAGATTTGTGAAGCAATGACCTTGAGCAAGTTCCTCAGACCCAGTTTCTTCATTTATGTGTTGGGAGTCGACTACCTCTCACCACCCTACCCAACAGAGAGACAGAGACACCGAGGATGCAAACACACAAGAGGAGTTTATTTTCTGGCTAGCCAGGGTCCAAGCCTTGAGCACCAATGCAGTGGCCACTCTGGTAGGCAAGGACCCCTACCGGGGTTGCAGCGTGCCTTTTATTCCTATGGTGCATACGCTATGCAGTGGCTGATCACGCATGGATCATGCATTGACCTTTAACATGATTGGTTGGCTGGTAGCCCCACTATACAGGGGTTCAAACAATGCAAAATTGGCGCAAACAAGCAAGCAAGCAATAGTTTCCATGGAAAGCAAGCAACAGTTTCCAGAACCCGGATGTTGCTTCCAGCTTCACTAGGGGTGCGGGGCCTTGCAGGTGTGCAATAATGACTCGACCCCTCAAATATGCAATGGGGATAAGGATGCATATTTTACTTACATCACTGAGTTGTGATAACAAAGCAGTATGAGACAGAGCACTTTGAAAAGCAAAAAATGATAACTTTTATCACTGGTGAAATTAAAAGTGTTTCTTTGCTAAAGAAATCTCTTGAAATGTCTATATAATTTTTCTGGGAGTTTCCTGAAGATTCTGTCAATGATTAAACTCATAATAAAATTGGAATGGGATGATGTATATGTTGCAAGGAAAGCCTAACTCCACCCAATCAGTTGATGGATTTTGTTTTCAAAATCCATTTCTGTTTTACTTGGATATAAAATATTAGTATTCTGTGTTTCTAATGCTTGCTTTTGGGGACATAAATTCCTGTATTAATTCTCTGAAAAGATTTATGGGTATATATTTGATTATAGAAAGAAAATGTCAATTGCAAAAAGCTTAGATAGTGCAGAGATAATAAACCCATGATTCCATAAATTCTTAAAAATTACTATTGATATTTTATTGTATTTCTTTGTATTATGTATATAAATATATGTGTGTGTGTATTTGTGTGCGTGTATATATTTATTTATATGATTAAGGCCACACTTTTTCTTTTTTTCTTTTTATTTCGGCATATTATGGGGGTACAGATTTTAAGGTTTCAATAAATGCCCATTTCCCCCCTAACCCCACAAGTCTGAGTCTCCAGCATGACCATCCCCCAGATGGTGCACATCTCACTCATTATGTATGTATATACCTGCCCCTTCCCCCCTCCCACTTGCCCAATACCTTATTACTGTAGTACCTATGTGTCCACTTAGGTGCTACTCAGTTAATACCAGTTTGCTGGTGAGTATATGTGGTGCTTATTTTTCCATTCTTGGGAAACTTCACTTAGTAGTATGAGTTCCAGCTCTAACCAGGAAAATATAAGATGTGCTATATCACCTTTGTTTCTTAGAGCTGAATAGTACTCCATGGTATACATATACCACATTTTATTAATCCATTCTTGGATTGATGAGCACTTGGGCTGTTTCCACAGCCTTGCAATTATGAATTGTACTGCTATAAATATGCCAGTGCAGGTGTCATTTTTGTAGAGTGTCATTGGATCATTTGGTTAGATGCCCAGCAATGGGATTGCTGGATCAAATGTAGATTCACTTGTATCTGCTTAAGGTATCTCCATATTGCTTCCACAGAGGTTGAACTAGTTTGCAGTCCCACCAGCAGTGTAGGAGTGTTCCTCTCTCTCCACATCCACGCCAGCATTTATTGTTCAGAGGCTTTTTGATAAAAGCCATTCTCACTGGAGTTAAGTGATGTCTCATTGTGGTTTTGATTTGCATTTCCCTGATAATTAGAGATGTTGAGCATTTTTTCATATGTTTGTTGGCCATTCTTCTGTCTCTCTTTAGAAAAGTTTCTGTTCAGTCCTTTGCTCACTTTTTAATAGGGTTATT